TAGTATTAATGTAGGTTATTTGTAGTCAAATATATGAAAATATATAAATAAATCATATATTCAAACAACAGCTGTATTCGAATTGATACATTACTTACCTAATATCAAACTCAAGACATTACGTGTTTGATATTCAGCGTAAAAATCTATAATTATATCAATATCTAAGATTATTTTCAGGATTTGCTTTAAGTTATGTATTACAACATACCATTCATAAATATATAATAAATTTGTAATATACTATTACTATTATTATAGAGAGGAGCTAAGATATTCAGTTCCCGTAGGCTACTAAGAATATATAATAATTAATAATAATTCACCCCTCTTCAAAAGAAAATATACGAGAGGGGAAGTAAAAATTGCCGCCCCAAAAGGCTTGCACCCCAAGCTATAGCCCTGTGGTTAGGGTGACCCTGATTATATGTATGAAAAACCGAAAAGTAAGATAATAATTTTAATTTAATAGATATTGATAACGACTTTCTGTTTCGATTATACTAAGTAACAGAGTGGACAGAGTGTTGAAAGGTTATGTTTTGTAAATCGATAGCTTCTCTCTATTTAAAAATACAATACGTTAGATCAGATGACGTAGCTTGGGAAAATAAATATACAAATTTCCAAATGGCATCTAGTAAACGAAATATTTTTAGATTATTTTCGCATTCGATGCTGGCGAAGAGTCCTTGATTCGATTCCAATAAATAAAAATAATTCTATAAGTAAATAAAGAGTGGAAAGAGGATTAAAAGAGTCCTTCGCACTGAGCGGAATCATAACAAAAGATAATCGAAAACTACATAATTGTTATATTTAGGTCTGAAATAAATATAATATATTATTAATAAAAAAATAATAAAAATTAATTATTAATGTATTTATACACTACACATTAAATATGCAATAATATTCTGGATTCATTTCAATTTTAGTGATATATATATCACCTACTATTTCCATATTTTGCAATCTCTGGATGTAGGATTAATAAAACAATTTTCCACATCACTGAACATTGCATATAAATTGTAGAATTTCCGACAATATCTACATGGATATAAATCCTCTTTAACATTTATATAATGATTAATTTTTTTAATATTTTTTTTAGTTGATCGAAATAATAATATTTGTTCTTTAATTTCAATATTTTTTGTATAGTTTTATAGAAATAAATAAAAAATAATAGTAATACAATCCAGTTAACATATTTTACTATGATCAATACAATATTTTAGCTGAAATACAATATTTAGTTGAAATTGAAACAAAAATTTAAATTGTAATTAATTAGATAACAATATTACAAGATACCAAAAAATATACATGCATTAATGCAATTTAATTATATTCAAAATAATAAGAATAGGAAAATATATGCAATGTTTTAATTTGAAATTTCACTTTTTTTTATTCTTATGTATTGTTATATCTTGCAAATGGAACTGAGCCAATTTAAGTAATATACGCTAGTCGTTTAACTTTCGTAAGTTGAACGCAACCTATAATTATTTTTCATGACTTTTGAAGATTTAGATGATTTTCGTTTTTGATTTGAATCGTCCAGTTTGGAAAGTGTTTAAAAATAAAAGTCGAACGTTGAATGAGTTAAATTAAAAATAGCCTGGGAATGTTTTCGTGTGTTCCTTTCAAATAATGTTCGATAAAGTAAGTGAGGCAAATATTTAGAATTTCCAACTTCTGGAAAACGTTTAGAAATGGTTCTCTGATCTTAACTTATATACTTGCGATTGTGAACTTTGAAGCGTATTATAATAATTGGCGGATGACAAATGTAAAATAAATTTTAATATAATATTGATTATCAGATGAATAGATTTATAGTCAATGTACAGCAAAACTTTTATTTTTTATTATAATTATATAAATTAATAATGTTTCAATAAATATTATTATATAAAGTGTAGAATTTGAGGTATTTTAAGCTTGTTGGATCAAGAGAGTGGAACTTGTGTAGCTTAATTATTTAACAAAATGAGCACAAACTTATTTTGGTTGTGCAATTTGAAGAGGCCTATTTGTGTAGTATGGTTTAGAGAGCAAATATAAATAAATGATGTTCACCTACATACGACGCTCGGATCGCATAAAAAAATCGCTGCTTCTGTAATTATAAGAGCAACTAAATTTGCCACTTTACTTTATTTTTATATGTATATATACATAAAAATTGTCTTTTTATAAACGTATGTTTCTCTTATTTATAGAAAAATGTCTCGTCCATTCAGCAGACCACGCACTCGCATCTACGACGTTAACTACAACATCGGCGAGAACTACTACAGGCCAGCAATCGATCGCCTGGATCGCAAATATTCTGGAAGACCATTGAGTCCTACTCGTCAGACCTCCATCCCGAGGGACATCATCGACCGCCACGAGAAAGCCTTCCAGGATGAGGACCTTCCCACGGCCCGCGCTCGCGCTTCAAAACACATCACCGAAGCTAACATGTTCGATTCACGCGGCGGAATTATGAAAGCCATGGAAATGGTCGAAAACAATATTGATGAGGAGGTGCGGCGCCTTCGCTGGCTTTAATACCTCACAAACATATATACATACACAAACAAAACTAATCAAACGCACGCACTAACCATCATCATCAGCACTTCTGCACAGACACACACACACAATACACATTCAATCATTTACTAATATCATGATTTAGTTTATTAACGGTTTGCTTGTGATTTGTTTTTGTAGACTGCCTCAAAACTGCAACGCATTAGAGCTAATAAGAAAGTTTCAATTATCGATGATATCGACATGGACCAGACCATGAACAATATCAAAGCTCGTCGCATCAAAGATAGGGCTGACAAAATGCTGGATTCCGTTGGAATCACCACCGTCGACAAATCGAGCAGATCCGTCGACAAATCTAGCAGAGCCGTAGATGAGGGAGTCAGCTACAAGAGATCCACCTTGAAAGTAACTATGGATTCAAGCGCGGATAATAAGGATCTTACCAAATGGTCGAAGCTCAGCTCTACCGAGGAGAAGGACAGTGGCGCATCCCTCAGGGCCAAACAATCCATGGCTAGATTGAACGAGCTGGAGGATGAGATGTCCGCTCTTCAGGAGAAAGCCCAGATTAGAGAACGCAGAGCCGCTAGATTGCGCGCGATCGTTGCCGAAGCCGCCGAAGAGAGCGAAGTCTGCACTGGTTCTACCATGAGGGTCAGCTCCCGCCAGAAGAAGGAAGCTATAGAATACTAAATCACACTTTTTTTTATAATATTACTATCGATCATTAACGTATCTGCATTTTCCTATTTCTGCTTGTACATGTATATATGTAATATAAACGAAAAAATAAAATTACTTTGAAAAAGTAGAATTCAATCTTTCCCTGAAATATTATTTTATTATGACAGTATTCAGTATTACAGTTCGTAAATATATTAACGTTGCATTGGAAACAAAATAAAGATCTTTAAGTTATTATATGCCAAATTTATGCATGTTGATATATTGTATATAGGGTTGGTTTTCGAATTTTCATAAAAAATAGCGAAAAGGAATACAACTTACAACTTATTTTCTGATGCTTACACGGATCTATTTCACATACAAAATTATACTAGCTAGAAAGCTGGGTTTCTGGGTTTCATATAAATGCCTATAGAGTCATATAGATGCCTATAGAGAGAGCATTAAATAATGAACCAAATTAATTGTTCTTTTTTTTGTACTCTTGAAATTCACATCTTTAGGTTCTTGAAGATATTTATGAAATGATTTTTCAAAGCAAGCTGTGATTTATTTTTCTTCTTCGCCGCTTTTTCATTATCGCAGTCTTCTTCTATTTAATAATTTGGATACAATCTTGACAATATTTGAAAGAAGCTAGAGAAAGAAATAAGCTAAACGTGTTTGTCTAAACTTCTGTGGATTTTGTAAATTAACTAAAAACCTTACAACTAATTATAGTATTTATTTTAGGTCAATATTTATATGTTTTTAATCAAAATAATGAATTATTTATTATATTTTAAGTTTAGCCTCAAAAACCGATTTCTTTAGTTGGAAAACCCCGGTTTTTGAATTACATAAATTTCTTCTAAAAACCCTCGACAAACCCTAATTGTATATAAAAAACAATTTCTTTTAACTTTGATTTTCTAAATTATATTAAAAATGTATATTATTTATGAATTCGGATATTATAAATATTACCTTATATAATTGTACCAAATAAATACTATTTATTGTTCTGAAAGTATATACAAAATTGAGTTCCTTACAAGTTACTTACAAGTTACTTCCTTAATGATTTTTTTATTTAAAATAGAAAATCTTACATAATTATATATTTAGTCGAAAACTATTAATTGAAAAATGTACAGAATTTTATACGAAAAATAATTTGTTGTTGATAATCAAATTCAAATTATATAAGATTTTATTGAAAGTTTCATGAAAATAAATCAACATTCATTTTTAGTTAAAGAAGAATAATATATTTCATAGAGCATACCTTTTCGAGTTTGAATTGTTATTGTCATGATTATAATTTATTAATTCAAACATAATAAACATAACGTTTTAGGAAATGAAATGACTGTCAATGATATTGATTTATATATGTCAATAGGAAATATAATTTAATATTATTTTGTAAAATATAAAATTACAAAATTTTTATTACATATTTTTTCTACATGGAAATAATATTAAACTTATTTACTAAGATGATTTGAAGTTTTTCAACTATCTTGTCTTAAAGAGTTATCAAAATAATTTTTGAAATTTTGATCATTACTATATTTTCACCGTAATAAAAGCAATATTTTATTACTTTTTTGTGTGTTAAACACATTATAACCGGCTATTGACTGAGGTATTTCCAACATTTTCAGCATTATTTATAAAATTGGCAATTGTAAAAATCTATTAATATTAAATCAATATCGGATGGTATAGCCTATCCCTTGACATATTAAGAGGGGTTTTTCAAAATATCAATCTTTACAAACTTTTCCCCACATTATGAACTTTTCTAAGTCACCTGACATATAACAAATCCTGTCATATAATTTTATATTAAAAAAAACTATCTTGTATGGTCTTGGCTAGGAATAAATGATAGTCATTGTAAATAGCCGAAAGGCATAAAAAATCTTGACTTTTTATTTGGTAATTCCGCTTTCCTGTACATTTTCTAGAAAGTTATAATAATGCCCTACTAGGTATATTCAAAAGGTGGTACATTGTAAAAAACACCATATATTATACGTCTGTATTTGTATTTCATATAACATAAATTTATTGAAATTCAACTGCCAATTGGCACTGGAGAGGATTAGCCAGATCAGTATATTCCGGACAATTATTATGGTTTAGCCATGATAATCTAAAATTAGGTTGTTTTTCGCAATCCGATTACACAAATAAGATTAATTGTGATATCCTCGCATCCGCAATTATCAAAAAGGCCGTTTCTATATTCAAATTTCACTTTAAAATAAGAAAGAGGTCAACGAATTATATTTTATTTATGCCGCACACCGGGCGGATGATTAAACGAAGGAATAATGCCAAGAGGCAAATGTGTAAGTAAATAACACCGAAATACCCACCGAGCAGAAAAAAAACTGTATAGGAATGGGATAAAATATAATTAGCCGGACAACTAATGCTCTAATTAAAGGTGGCGAATTCATAAATAGGTCAAGGTTTAGTCATATTTAAAACGAGCGTCGAAAATAACAACTCAGTATGCAACATGCGCCAATTGAGAAAGACTTCTGAAGATTTTAAGGAAAGATGATCATTTGGGTGTTCCTTTTTGGAAACCCGATAATTTTGATTTTAAACGTGAGAAAACGGTGATCATGATTTTTTATTTCGGTTTAAAGATAGCAGCGACTTCGTCGCCTGGTCCGTTTACTATTCTTAGAACGACGTGGTCAATATCCAGGGGAATTCAAACAGAAAAGAAGAAAAAAATAAATTATGAGAAAAAATCTTCTTAAATAAATGCGATGCAGCTACTCATATAAAATAAGTGCAATATAACTGTACAATTTAATTAAATAGATGGCACTTATTTTCGGACGAATCTTCGCGACTTCCTGCTTCTGCACTCTTGCGTAACGATTGTAAAGATATGCAAGCTATAATTAAATGAAACTCTTCATTTACACATTAGAATTAATTAATTAAGTGTAATTTGTTGATGGTTAATTACATTTATTTATTTTTGATTATGTTTGATACTTACGGTGTGATGGATTCGCGGACGGCTAGGTATGAAAATTATATACAATATTCCACTACACACTCACAAGACGCTCGGCGTCGTTATGGAATGACGCTTCTGCCAGCTCTCCCACCGAAATGCAACGCTCCCACTCGTTTTATATTTTTATAAATGTTTATTTTTCTGTCTAATAATTAAAATGTAGTCAATAGTCTATAAATAGGGCACACGAAGACCGTGAATCTGGAAACTGGTATGTGTATGAGTATGTGCGGTGTCTGGTCCATACTGTTTAGCACAATTACCACCTAATGATCCACACTCTGCTAATTCATCGACGCTTTTCCAGATCGTTTGTAACATTTCATTAAGTGCAATTAATGCCATTGAATGTTTCACATTGCCTTTGTACGCGACTACTGCGGTTGAAAGCATCAGATCCGAACGCAATTTAGTTAATTATAACCATAATTATGTTATCTATTGCAGCAAAAGCTTGAAACATTATAATTTTATCCATTTCCTAGTTATTTATTTATATATTTAAGATGTAACTAGAAATATTAACTAAATATAAGAATGTTAACTATTGTTAATAAATGTATATATTTGCTGGATTTAATACAACAAACTTTAAATTAATATAGAAAAGAGCAATTACGCTCTACTATTAATCAATATTATGTAGAGTTATTTGTTTTTTATAAACACATGTTTACAAAATATTTTGTTTTGTAATAATTAATAGTAATATATAATAATATATTTTGACTACTACTTTAAACATTATTATATTTTTTAGGTTTGCACAATTTAGACTGACTGACTGACTGGGTTTTTATTTTGTTTTTGTTGCAGATAATAAAGAATTTTAAGAAATTTTATAATGGCTACATTCAGAGTTTCCAGACGATATATTGTTATAATGCACAAAAAAATGTCGTGCGCATTTTTATGTTCCAACAGCTCTCATTTCAAACATGATTATAAACTTAATCAGCCATTTTAGGAACGGGGTGAATTATGTGATTATCAACGATGAAATTTTCATTGACCTGTTCGCAATGAAGATGCTGGTGTGGCTGTACGACAGTGTCAACGATGTGTCTACTCATCCACTAAGCTTAGACGAATATTGAAACTTGATTTGAAGATGTTTCCATACAAAATTTACTTGGCCTAAAAATTGTTAGCACGGTATTCAGAACAATGACTTAGATATGCCAATAAATTTGGTAACCGAATTATTTCGAAAAATTTTGTTTGGTCTTCCCAGAATAAACCATAAACAATAAACCAGTTTAAGCAAAATATTCATGAAGAAATAAAAAATATGGAGCCAGAAATGCATTAGAAAGAAAATCAAGGTTATTTAAATGGTTTTGTTTTCAAAAAAATCTAATAAGCTATACTTTCACGTAAAATATACAACTACAAAAGTTATATCTATTTTACAGTCGAAGTTGGCCACCATGTATAAAATGAAAGATGTAAGGTGAATATGAGTGGAAAATTGTATATGGATGGGAAGACGAAATAATATTTATTAACAAAACTCTGTTTTAGTAATTTATTTAGATATATAACTAAATGTTATTCTTGAAATAATTAATACAAGTATCCAATTAATGCAAGTAAATGTATGTTACAACTTGCTGCTAAAACGGTCGTAATTATTCCATTCGCGTAAACCTTTAAAGGAGGTGGAATATATATTGAATTTTAGTATGAATGGTGATCACGCTGGGACTGTAATTACATGCGATTACTATAGCTCTATTCGACGTACGTATTTCAATTTAAATACCCATATATAACTGACAAGTAATCTTTACATAAAATATTCGAAAAGTTGATATATTCGAAAAATAATATTGTTAAATATTTATATATAGCAATACCTCGTATAGTCCGGGTAATCGGTTCCGCTAATATCCCGCACTATTTGAACCGAATTAATCGAGGATCTGAGGATTTTGTGTACTTTATAGAATTTATTTTTATTTGGCTTAATCAGTTTGTTTTAAAATTTTCCAACTGGATTGATCGAAGCCGCACTATGCGAGGAATTATTTTATTTAAATAATTAATTTTTAGATCATTCATTTACTTTTTATTTTCAATAAAAAGTAAAT